TAGTTTTTTATTATTGTAGGGTAAACGATTTGAATTAAAAGTGTTTTTGTACGAATTATTACAAATTATTTGAGTTTTACAGTTTGGGGGGTCACAGTCTATTTTATAATTCCAAAATTATTATATTGACAATTAATGACAGCAATCTGTCAAACTAAAAATTTCAGCAATATTTAATTAACATGTAAAATCTTTGCAGTATTGCAGTATATGCATATACAGAGAAGATTTTTCATCAATTAGAAAGGAGGCTTTATTGCCCAAATTATATACAAAATTATTAAGAAATTACATCCACAAGTTTCATTTCACTCATATGCAAAAAATAACAAATTAGTATTAAATTTAAAAAATATATGTACCTACATGTAAGTATGCAAATGATTTTTTTTTATTACCAAAAATTAACATTATAACAGGCCTTTTAATAATTTTCTTATGTAAATTCAAATTTAGTTAATTAATTTAATTTTCACTAGTTTTATAAGCTCATATTTTGAATGATTCCATTTTGAAAATCATGAACCAAATATAATATCAGAACAGTTATGTTGAGTTTTATAATATAATAGTACATATTAAATGAATGTAATATATAATTAAAAATGATTGATCAACTTAAGCAACATCAGTGAATTCTAAAGAGTCTCACTGTATAATGGTTGTTGTAAACGCCATTTTTAATTCAAGCGATTTTTTTATTATTCTCTTATCGATTTAAAAGCAATGTAATATTATTTAAAATTTAATTCTCTTTTAATAAAAATATAACATGTTTTCATTCTCTCCCCATATTATTCTCAATTCTTAATAAATATTAAATTACGAGATTTTCATGTTATACTTATAGTAGTCATTTTGGTTAATTTGAAAAAAACATTATTATTCGTTAAAAGAAAGTCCTTTTATAACAAAAATACATTTACATTAAAATAATATAAAAATTTGGAAAAGAATAAGTAGAAATAGAAGAAAATCCAAATTTTCTATTAACGTATTACTTTTCAATATAGAAAATAATTAATCGTATTTGGAATGTTCAATGAATGAAAAGTGAAATGGTCACTCTTTTTTTGATATCTTGCTTGTAACAAGTGATAAATAACAATAAATAATAATAAATAATAATAATTGAACTGGAAAAATAAATGTTAAATATAGTGAGAAAAGTGAAAATTTTAAATTAATAAAAAAAAAGGGAATTAGATCCAGGAAAATATAAAAGAGAAAAAGAAAGAACACAATGAATTTTGTTGGTTTCTATAATAATTATTATATTATGCAATGTAATTATGAAAAACCAGAACCAGTGGAATGTTACAAAAAATTATATAAAATTATTGTGTAAATAAATTAAAAAATAACAAGCTATGCATTGTATTTTGAATATAGCCAATATTTTGTTAAGTATAGAGGCGCTTATACTTATAAACGACCGCAATATTTCGAAATTTATTATTAAATAATAATTACTTTAAATTATTTGAATTGAAAATATATAATTTGTTTCCAGTATTCACCAAAATTTGCCAAACATACTTGAGAAAATGATGAGATTTTTATTATTATTATGGTAACATTCACATCTAATTAATTTGATTCATGGCATTATGAAATGTACGAATTTTAAACTCTTATTTGAAAAATTCTGTGCACAAGTATGTTCACATACGTGTATATTTCAATATACATATACATATGATAAGTCATGAGTAAACTCAAATGTCAAATTTTAATTGTTGTAGAAATTTAAACTAATTTGAGAATAACATTTAATTTAATTGTTCATACAAGTCTGTATTATATATTTGTAATTAGAGCATCACATGTTTTTCTTAATATCTTAACCTTTCAAATCAAAAGTTCAATTTATAAATAAGATTTATTTAAATATAAAAAGGTTATAATTTGTAAGAAATTTGAAAACAAAAAGAACACTTTATTAACAAAATTTTCGTTGTTTTAAATTGGACTTTAGCATTCTTAGTTAATTTTCTTATTTAAATTCTATTAAAACTTCTTATTATTAAATTTTATTTCCGATTTTAATAATATTCGTCTCAGTCTTAAAGTGTTAAACATCTAGTAAAATTATATTTTTCCTAATTAGAAGTAGGTACATATTAAATTTTCTTAATGTTCTAATTCACAATTTGAAATCATTAAATATATGCTTAAAATTAGCTGCCCTTTTGCCCACAATACAGCCAATACACATAATATCAATTAGCTAATTTATTTTATAATTAAATAATTAATTAAACATGTGTATTGATACGTGATTTCATTCAAGGAATAAAATAATGACTAATTTCTACATAAGTATAATTTAAAAAGAATGCATTTAAAAAATTGTACTAATAGGGTAATAGAGACCCTAATAATAAACAAACAATCAAAATTTATAAAAGTGTAATTTGCAATGTAAATAATTTTTTTAAATACAAAAATAATTTCATAAAAAGTTCAAAGTTTAAATTTTGAATATAAAAAAGTATAGAGAAGTCAAAAAAGAGAAAATGAAAAGTTGGGATGGAAATTCTATTTTACATATAGGTTTATATTTAATTTAATTAATATTGTTTACGTAGTTATTTAAAGCTTCGTAATAAATTTACATTTAAATATTTTCATTAATCATTAGAAATTAGTCAATTTATAGTTTGAATCATAAACTATACAAAGTCCAAACAACTACAATATTTCACAAAATTCAGAATTATTTAATTTCAAAAAGCAAATATAATGCAAGTATAAATTGTCTGACTTGATTAGGATATCTTTACAGACCAGAGACAAAATAAAATTTTATCAGTGATTTTCCACTATTCTAATAAATATTTTAGTATTTGGATTTTATAAATACTAATTTGTTATTCAAAAATTTCTTAATTAAAAACAATTTTCTATATTATATGCATTTCTTTTATTATACCCACACATATTTGATATGAAAATCTGTGATTCTTAAATATAGTTGAGTGTTTCATTTAAGAAATTCTTATAAGACTATATTTAAAAAAAATTTTTTTAATTTAAATATAATATTGTCTAGTTTAAACTAGAAAATTAAGGCTTTCTCCCTATATATATTAACTTAAAAATTTCATCTCCCCCTCGATAATAAAATTTATTATATATAGTTCATTATAACAACAATAAAAAAAATACCAGTTTTAATCAATAGAAATAATATTTTTAAGAGGAAATATATGTAAATGAATGAATTTTTATTATTCATATATTCATATAGTTACATACTTTAAATTTGAATTCCCCTTACATATAAATTTTATTATATTATTGTAAGTTTACAAGAAATAAAGTGAAATTCATTTAAAAATAGAATGGAATATAAATTAAAAACGAGAAAAAAAATAGAGTTGACCTTGTCAACTCTGTGAAACCCGTACGAATTTGTTATCCTATGTGCGAATAACTAATGTGCCATAACTAACTATGGGGCAGACCATGACTTTAAGTTGCCGTATTACCATATTAATTTATGCAAAATTTCAGTACTATGTGTTATTCAAAATACTGGTTGTGTCAAACTACTATTGATGTTGTATGGCAGCTACCAGAAAGAGCCAAGAAATTTTAGCGAATTTTATCAAGCACATCGGCCCTACTAATATACTCACTTCTGTGAAATCTCAATATCACAGCTTTTATAGTTTCTGAGATATAGTCAAATAACTTTTGAAGTTGTATGGCAGGTACCAGAAGGAGCCAAGTAATTTCAACAACTTTTATGAGACACATTGGCCCTACTAATATATTCGTTTGTGTGAAATTTCAATACCATAGCTTTAATAGTTTCTGAAATATAGTCAAATAACTTTTGAAGTTGTATGGCAAATACCAGAAGGAGCCAAGTTATTTCAACGACTTTTATGGGGCATATTGGCCCTACTAATATATTCGTTTGTGTGAAATTTTAATACCATAACTTTTATAGTTTCTGAGATATAGCTAAATAAATTTTGAAGTTGTATGGCAGCTACCCGAACCGGTACCCCGATCACTTCCAATTTAAATAGGGTTCTGGCACTTACTACAATAAATCATTTGTGAAAATTTGGTGAACTTAGCTCAATAATTTTTGAGTTATCGTTGGGACGGACGGACGGACGGACGGACGGACAGACAAAGCTAAATCAACTCAGAATTTGACGCTGATCAAAAACATACACTTGAGTCTATATCTAACACCGTTATTTCTTAGCGTTACAAACGGTAAGGCAAATTTAGTATACCCTTCGAACATACGTTCGTACGGGTATAATGAAGGCGGAAGATAAAAACAAATTGGATAGAATCTTAAATCTCTTGCATATTGTTAATTGTTATACTACTTATATAGAATCAGAATGCATTCATTTGGCCGCCGTGATTGTGGCACAAAATAATATTTAGACTTTTCTTAATTTATGACTTATTTGGACTTTGATCTAGAATTTTTTATTAGATTTTGTAAATTTTTAATATTCCTTATTTACCTACTCTAAATAATTTAAAATTTTTATTTATTGTTTTTTTTTTTTAGATGAATGAAAATTTATGCGTATTTTCCTGGAGTTTGAATTTCATATACGAAGTTTTGACAGATATTGTACCAATTAATTAGAGAAAATGAAAATGAATTTTTTATTCGAGTATATTTATGAGGCTAATTTTTGAAATAAGATTTATGAAGTGCTCCGTACTTCATATTCTTGTGAGTATAGTTTGTAATAAGTTAAGGAATATTTGTTATTGATACCAATTAAGATTTTTTTTTCTAAAAAATAGTTATGAAAACTTTGTAATTTAAATATTATTCACCTTTAGAATATTTCTTATGACATTTATAAATTAGTTAACAAAACTGACTAATTCGCACAAAATATATTGACAAATTCATACTAAACTCAAATAAGTTGTTTATTTAATAAAAATATTTTCTGTACTTAATAATTTTCTAAAAATTTTTTTTTATAAAATTTATTCAAACTTACCAACTACTCGAAATGGATATTTTGCTGAACATTTCAATTTCTCAAATGAACCGCTTCTTAAGAAAAAGCTTCGTTTTTCACGAAGTAAATTTGATTTTTCCGGAATTGAAGACATTTTTAGTTTTTTTTGTATTTTGAATTCTCAAAAATAAATTTTAAAATTGAATTTTTTTTTAATTTACGAAATTTTTGTTTTCCTTTTGTCTATTATTTTGTTTTAAATTTGAATATTACAATTATAATTTTAAGTAGATTATGAAAAAAAAATTTCAATTTCTACAATTTAAATTATTTTTGCATTTAATTAAGAATTTTAAATTCAAAATACGAAATTTGTTTTCTTGTTGTTTTAAAAGTTTTTATTCTTTGAATATTTCTTTCTAAAAATAATATTTCTTATTTTTTCAGAATATTTTCCAAAATTTCGAATAAATTTAAAATAAATTCTCTTGTTAAATAAAATAAGAGCATTTTAGCACAGTTGAATATTTTTTTTGACTTTTAAAATTGTCACTTTATTTTATTTTTTTCTCAATTATTTCTGAATGTAAAACAAAATTTTACCGTTGTTTTGTTATTTTAATATTTTTTTTGTTGTTTTTCTTTTCTTTCTTTTTGGATTTTTCACTAATTAAATTAGCACTTTTATTTTTTAATTTTTTAAATATTTCAACTCATTGGAAAAAAAATTGTTTTTTAGTACATTCTTGTTTTAGTACTTTAAAAAATAAAATTTTAATTTTTTTTTGAAATTCTAAAATAATTAATTTAATATTTTTTTGCTTTTTAAACACAAGAAAATGAATTCAATATTTTAATCGGTAAATTTATAAAAAAAACATCTTTTCAGTAAGAGATTTTAGACTCAACTGAAATTTGAGTTCTTTTACTTCAGCTGATATATACTTCAAAAAAAAAAATAACAACAAATAAAATATAAAGTCAAAAGTGAATACAATAAATTTTTTTTTATTATTTTTTGACTCATTCACATATGACTTGTATTTTATCAACTTTTTTTTCACTCTGTTAACGTTATTATAAGAGATAAGGATAGGAAGAAAGCATGTATGAAATGAATGAAAAACTAACACACATACGCAAAAAAGAAACATCAAAATGTCAAACTGTCAGAAGAAATTTTTTCATGTAAACTAACCAATACTATCAAAAATAATTAATAAGAACAATAAAAGAAAAATATTAATATTTAGTTATTTATTATTTTGTTCTTATCTCTAGTACAAAATGTATATATATATATAAATATAAATACACACAATGTAACTATGTATATGAAATATACATAAGTATTTAATTCAGGTGCGATAGTAAACACATTCACAATAATAATTGACAAACATAAAAATATACATAAATAATACATATATGCCAATGTATATATAAACACATGTATGCAAGCAAACGTACACATACAAGAATGTTATAATGAAATAATTCTGATTTTTTATTATTGTTTTCAATAAAATTTAAATACATAAAACAAAATAAAACTATAGAGGTAAATAAAACAAGATAATTTGAAAATCAACTCCTAATACTCTAGGTCAACAACATGATACGTTTGAAACATGAAGCCAAAGTATCAAATTTTATGTTTTCGTTTTTACATATTATATGATAAACTGCATTTGACTTAATATTTTGTCACATAAAATTGAATATTAAATATTATTTCTTAATATTCATTATTTAATATAATTTTAGCTTGAAATTTTAAAGGTACGTGTACATACCCACTTGCTTTTTTATTCGGATAGTATTTAATATTGTTATGACAAATTGTTTACCATTGTAACAAAAACAACTAGATATTATGTATTGGAAATTTTGATTTCTTATTTTTGATCGAATTAACCCCATTGAAAAATGACTCTCGGCTTACCGAAATGACCATAAATGAATAAGTACAAAGGGTAAAGTCAAAACAAAAGCTGATTTTTTGTACGCTATTGAATTACTAATAATGATACAAAACACTACCTATTTCTGGTTTTTCTGTGTACCTTAGAATTCTTGTTGGATACTTAAAAAATGATTTAATTCGTTCTCCCCTGCTTTCGTTTTTATTATATCTATATTATTTTTTATTTAATGTAAAATTTTATAATATGTTGTGGAAGAAATTAATTTTTATTTGAATAGCTCGAAAATTATAACAATAGATGGCGCATAGTGTGTTCTTCATTATCATTATTATCTTTTTTTTTAGACTTGTTGCGTCTAAATATTTTATTATTTTTAAAAAAGTTAAATATTTTTTATATTTTTTATTATAAATACTTTAATAGTAAAAACTTATTATTAATTTTATATAATTAACAACACCAAATTTTACAATTTCCGTTTTTCAGTATTATAAACGCATTTCAAATTCAGAATGTCATACAAAAAATTTTCATATTAAACAAAAACGAAAATTTTTGTTTTGAATGCATTTCACTTGAATGTTTATTGAATAAATTATGGAATATTTCATGTAAATAAATAAAAAAATAAGAAGAAAAATTTAATTTAATAAATTATTTTCACTTTTTCGAGTACAAATGGTGCCAATAGGCATAAAAAAATGTGCTTTTTGTATTTCAAGTATTTTATAAAAGCCAATTTTTTACTCAACTCTAAATTTTTCTCTATTTATTTGCATTTGTACCCTTGTTTGTAAATATATGCTATTACGTACAACTGTACATACATAGTTGTACCCACGCATATGTGTGTAGATAAAATGATTTGCAAAACCGCGTTCATTTATTTATTTTGTTTTAAAAAGCCGGCTTTTTTTATTATTAATTTTTTGTTGTTATTCCTCACTACATATACATACATATGTACATATGTATGAATAAGAACAATTGATATTTGTTTTTGTGATTTTGCTTTTCCATGCACGTATCACACATATCACAAATATCATTATTATTACTTACCTTCACTTAGATTTTTGCTTGTATAAAATTAATAAAATAATATTTATTAAATTATTTGTGACTTGAATATTTTAAATTAAAAAATATCAGAATGTGTTGAATAATTTTATTAAAATAAACCCAATTATTTATTATAAACTATAAGTATTTATTTGCATTTTCAATAAGTGATAGTGAAAACAATAATTGGGACACCAAAAGTGTACAAGAATATCATTTAAAAGGGAAAAATTGCAATGGCCTTCAAGAGGTCAAATTAATTTTGCAAAAAACTATTTTAATGGTTTGATTAAGTGTAAAATATTACAATTCGTGTTGAAATTTTTGGATAATTTTATTGAACTTTATTATATTTTTCAATATATTAAAAAGATTATGAAGGCAGCTTAAATTCACCTGTGAAAATAAAGTTACCCTAATTGTCTTCTACACATCTAATGGATTATTTTACCATACATTTTTTTTTTCTTCCTAGGTTTTGTTTCCGAAATCTACTGACAACGCTGGGCTTTAAAAGAGTCCTTTATATTTAAAACTCCTTCAATTGCTTAAGGTTTTATTTTTTAATTGCAATAAATATAATATACAGCTGATTATTTTGTTATACAATACTGTATAAACTTTCCATTAGAGTAATAAAATTACTTATTTATTGTTCATTCATAAAAATTTTATGTATATTCATCATGTGTTATAATAATTATTATTCTAAATTATTATAAATTTTAGATGACCTATTTGTGGTTAAAATTCACAAAATTAAAAACGATATAAAATGTAGATTTAGCAACACTCATTATAATATAAAACATAGTAATTAAACATTTTATTTGTTTATAACAACCTGCTAATTATTTTATTATTATATGATAGGTTAAAATTTTTTTATTGAATTAACTATATAACTTTCAAATTTTAAAAATAAAGAGGGACAAGTTTCTCTACAAAGTCACAAACTTTTGACTAATTATTTAATAAGATCACACGTTTCGTAGTGTAGTTAATATTGTTATGGGTTTTATAACAAAAACAAATTAACAGTTTATTGTTGACCTAAGGTATACGACACAATTTTTAAATTAAATTTATTTAAAATTTAATCATATTATGTTTGTGTATTAAGTAATATTAAATTTTAGAGCAATATACACAAATACACTTCAAATTAATCAATCAATTACTGACAAACTTACTATAATAATATATGCACTATGTATTTTAACAATTTTCACTTTTAATTATTTTATAATTTCAACTTTAAAGAGTACAGAATTGAGTCTATTCTAAAATTTAAAATTGCAATAAAGTACTCAAAACAGAGCTATATAAAAATGGTTAATTTAATAACGATAACTGCAGGTTATGCACCGTTCAAAATCTACAATATGGTGACATAATGTATCCGTTTATTCTGGAAACTAAAGCACAGACTGACACTCATATTCCCTAAAATAGCTTCAATAACAATTGGCATTTCTATAATATTATAGTGCTAAAATCACAAAATGCTTAAGTGTTTTCGAGTGTTAAATTTTTTGAATTATGCTTTAGATTTCCTTAAAACAAAAAACATACAATAAACGAAAAAATTTGTGCTTAAAGCACACTGGCGCTATATTTTCTGCAATATTATGCCGATTTAAAGTTCAATAGACTATAAAAATAAAGATTTTCTTTCTTCTTTAAATTTACAACAGAAAATTTTTACTGTGGAAAAATTTTAATAAGAAAATTTTAAAAATATAAAAACGAATTTTTTTTTTTTTGATTTCAATTACTATTCGTATTTGGGGGTAATGACATTCTTTTCTGTAATAGCCTGCATCTTTGATTTAATTGACAATAATAAGTTAGTTCAACCCTAAAGAACATCATCTTAGAGATGTATTTTTAGTAAAACCTGCTCGTATTATTAAAAAATCACTAAATACGAACAAACGAGCTGTGACATCCGAAAGCGATGTTTTATAAGAAAGCTTAAAAGAATGCTAGCGTAAAGTTATTGACTAATATTCCGAATATAATCCGAAGACAAATAATTAATTTTTTTATAAATTTCGTAGAGAAGATAAAATTTAAGTTTCTCATAGAATTACCAAGAACTTACATATTTTCAATATGACAAAAAAAATTAAGATTAATTTTCTTATTCTGGAATTTAATGTGTTTACTACTATAGCGTTCTTTCATACAACAACACAAAGCAACACACAATA